GAGGGGCAAAGGGAGAGGGAGAGAGAGAATCTTAAGCAGGCTCCCTGTTGAGTGTGAAGCCCTATGCGGGGCTTGATCTCAAGACCCTGAGATCATGATCTGAGCTGAAATCAAGAGTCAGATGCTCAACAGACTGAGCCACCCAGGTGCCTCAATGGGACCACCTTCTCACTGGTCTTCTTGCTTCCCCTCATGCCTTCCAAATGGCAGCTGAGTCACATCTTCCCTCTCTTGTACTTAAATCTTTCAGTGGCTTCCCACTGAATTCAGCATGTTGCCATGATTTACTGGGTCCCACACACCCTGGCTCCTCTTGATCTTGCTAACCTTGCTTCTTCCTCCAGGTCCTGCCACATGGACTCATCTGTATTCCTTGAATATGCTCACATCTGTCCCACTCAGGATCTTTGCTATTGCTGGCCCTCTGCTTGAACATATCTTTGCGCTCTTCTCTACCTAGCTGACCTTTTCTCATGCTTCCAGTTTCAGCTTCCATGTCACCTGCTCAGAGCTCTTAAATCAGTCTTCTTTAGAACACCTCCCTCTCCCCGCCCTGGCTCCTCTATCTATTCTCTATCACCACACATGAACTTCTTGGGTAGCATTTATTTTCATCCGTAATGGTCTTGTTTGTTTGTTTTTTTTTTAATGTCCTGATTAATCGCTGGTCTCTTCTGCCCTAATGAGAGCTTCAGGAGGGAGCCCATCTACCTCGCATTCTTTGTCTGAATTAAAGAATAAACAAGCAAATGTGTGTGGGGGGGGCTGCTAAAATGAAGCTTCCAAATAGAACACAATGTATGAAATCTTGGCCATTTTTTAACTCTCTTCTCTTCATAGAGTGGACTAGCACTGCCAATGAGTTGCAAGCCTGCTGCTTAAATATTCATTTCAATGTTCAACTTGTATTAGTCACCAAGGCCTGTTGATTCTCGCACCTAATTACTTCAACATTTTGTCTTCCTCTCTTCTTGCAACACCAACTCCAGCCATCCCAGTCAACCTTCCCATCCCCCTTCCATGGCTCACTGGGGTGGGCTCCTAATTGCTCTCTCCACCAACAGTCTCCACGCATCCTCTTCTTGATAAATGCATCTTTTAATGTCACTTTTAACCTGTCACTTCACTTTCCAACAACAGCCACAATAACAGCAACAACAACAACAAGTAAACTCAAAACCAACCCATGTTCTATCTTATTATAGTAGGTCTCAAAAATCACATTATATTCAACTGCATCCTTCCCAACTGAATCAGTCAATAGTATTTCCCACTACTCTTTAAACACTCAAATACTTACTTTTCTATCCCCAAAATAAACCAAGCTCATACCTCTCTTTGTATTCTTGCTCAGCCATATCACAGATTAGGAGGCCCTTTCCCCCTCCTTCGATCTAAACCAAAACATTTTCTTCAAAGCCATAGTTCAAATCCAGCTTCTCTCATGAAACCTCCCCTCCCAGCTCCAGCCCACGTGTACTTCCCTTTTTCTCAATTCCTAAACCATTGTTTAAACCACTCTTCCATATAACAATTATACAAGACTTATCTCTGTTATCCTTCGATTATTTCTTAAGTGTACATTTTCTCTCCCCAGTTGGATTCCGAGCAGGGGCTGAGTCCTTTCTATCCAGGCAGTGGCAGAAGTAGCACTTATCCAACAGGAGCCACTTACGCCGATTTACTGATTTACATGGTCCTGATGAGGAATCCCTTCAACTACAAACAACGGCTCTAGATAACTTGCAATCCCCAAACAGAACATAATGTTCCTTGGCCCTAATCTCTCCCACATGAACTCCCAATGCCTACAACGTTCCCTTTCCACCTTCATTCACCTGGGGAACTCCTAATTCTCTTTCGGGTCTCAACTAGGACAACGTTTACTAAGAAAAGGAAAGCACTGTCCCTTCCTTACCCATCCGCCTATAGTGTAGTTCCTATAGATTCCCATTAAATAATCTTAATCCATAGCATGTGGCACTCTATATTATAAATGACTATTTGTCCACTGGCCTCCCTGACTGGTCTGGACACAACTTAGGCTCAAGTAATTTATCTTTTATCTTGATAATAGCAGAGTGACAATGCTATATTATTTGTTGAATAAATAAATGAACAAACTAGCAAAAAAGCTGGCACTAAAATCTGTTGAAAGAGCTAAGAATGTAGTGTAATAGGTATCCATTTAGTTTATGTAATTTACAACAGGCCACAGTTCATACCATTAGAATGCTTATTTGTTATTGATTCCAGTTGTTAAGCACCCACTATGGGTCAAGCATGGGGATACAGAAAAGACTCAAACACATAAAATTCCTAAGCTCATAGAACGTGTATCTTACTAGGTGAGATGGGCTGGAGTACAGTGTTTGCTCCAAGGTGGAGAGCACAGAGATGCTCTCAGCAGAAGGCTTCTTTCTGCAAGGATGCTGACATTGAGACAATGCTGCCTTGGACCGAAATGGTGGCAGTTTGAATGGTGCGTAGTGGTTACATTATGGACGTACTTTAAAGTCAGAGCCAACAGAACTGATTGATGGACTGGAAGTCAGGTCTGAGGGAATGAGAACAGTCAAGATTGGATTTTAGTCTGTGCAACTGTGGAATGGAATTTGTGCAGGGTTTGGAAGTGTATGATTTTGGAAAGAGTGTGTAGATATATGAAGAGAGTCTCTAAAATTAGGCCTTAAGTTTTAATAATCCATTTTGTATAATACAACTTCCCTTGGGCATATTTCCCATTAACAATAAGAGTGCTTGTGGCTTCTTAGACAAATTGGTAACACTGAATAGACGAATCTTGGACAGCTGCAGCTAACAACGCTCCGTGAAGCATTGCCTATACCAGGCACCCCATAAAAGCCACTGCAATTTATCCTCCAAAATTGTCTCAAGTTCTTTTTTTAAATGACTAATGCAATGCAGCTAGTGCTAGGGGTTACAATTTCTGGGATTGCTAAAAACCACTTCAAAGCTCACACGATCATTATCAATATGAAGATTAATAACTATACTTTGAATTCTACTGAATGGTGATTTAGATGTCAAATGGACACGTATAAAAGAAGGCAAAATTTTTATCCTGCCCTAGACCATAATCTAATCTAAGGTCAGAGGAGATGACCTTGACCTAGGAGTAAAAGGATGTGGAGGAAATGTGGGTGACCTGGAATGACTTAATCCACTTAAGACTAAATAAAGTCTGAGATAGAACAGCAAGGGATCTGGGCTGTTGGGCAGCTACCTAAACAACCAGAATAATCAGCTCCTGTGCTTAATGGCTATAATTTGGGGTAAGGCTGGTAATAATGGTTTATTTTTTTCATGTGTGGAAGTATATGTCTGCAAAACTTACTGAATTTGGGATTCGAAAAATGAGACTGTTTACAAACACATGATGCAACCGTAAGTCAGTATAATGACTAAGTCTCTTGCAGAATAATTCAGCAGTGGTCATGATGAGTTAGAACTTGGACTTCTGAGTTTTCATGGGGCAGAAACAAACCATTCTCACTCAGTCTGTGAGGCTCCCCCCCTTCTAGACTCTAAGTAGTCTACACAATAAACAGTTATTTCCATAGTAGAAATGGGCCAAGACGTCTAAGCTCCAAAGTTAACCTGTTATTATGGTTAGAAATCAAGATTGCCATTCTTCCAGGTTTTCACAGCCACACAACTTTTGACCTAGCTGGTGGAAATGTAAGAGTAAATATAGTTCCCTGACCTCTTCACAAAGGCAAAAATCAACATGCTCAGGTATTTATTTCACTGGAAAGTGATCGGGCACAAAGATGCATTACAGTGGATTCAGATAATGACAGGACTCTACAAACATTTTTCAAAGGAAAATTTTAGGCAAGAGTTCATCCATACACTGTCTCCGTGTCCTCTTATTTAGGAGTTTGATATAAAGCACTGATTTGAAAACCTTATCTACTCCACAATTTATCAATGGCATCCCATAATAAAATGAAAACTTTTAGACTCATAATTCACACCCCAAAATCAGACACCAGGCCCATGAGAGGAAATCTCATCACCAGCATATGGAGAAGGGAAGACTTCTTCCACCTAAAATTCCTTCATAACTGAGATGAGTCAGTTCCTTCCCTATCTTGAAAATTATGCTTTAAACCCACCTCCTTCCATGAAAAAAGACAGCTGTAACCTTTCCCAATCCCCACAGCATGGCAAGCGTGGTTTTCACTATGGGGTCTGTATTTCTAGCCTCTGGATATTTCTTAGGCACTGAATGACTAATTACCAGAAGAAAAGTCATGTATATATACTCATTCTGCTTCCTAGAAGATGCTAAGTGAATGCATAGTCAACACAAAAAGAGATGGTGTTCCACTATGTGGTCCTTTTTAACATTATAAAAAACAATGTGAATAGAAGGCAAACAGCAAGGGCTTAAATTTAAATTCTTCTTGTAATCCTCATATTTCAGTGTCAATTTTTTTATACATTTGCACTACTGCAAAAACAATATATTTTTTAAAATCCCTGAAGTAATCATAATAGACAAGCATATAAGAACAGGAACAATCCGTTGAAATGTAGAGTTAAAATTTGCAAATTGAAAAAGGTGATATCAAACAAGAACTTCATGAAAAGAATGTCAAAACTGTACTCAAATCTTTTCTTTCTACACTAAAAAGTCAAAGATGCAGGAAAATTTGAAACTATTTGCCCCCCAAAAATCATCATTTCAAGACATTTCTTGACATTACTATCCATTAGTCAAATGACTCAAATGCTCTGCTCTCCGGGTTCATATGCATGTTAAATTTAAGTTAGTATTTCGGTACAATAATTAATCCATTTCCATCATTCCTTTGTTCAACTTTTAAACCCTTTTTTCAAAATCAATTTACTAAAATCTAGCTTTCTACCTTCCATAGACCAATTTGACCAACTGTAAAAGAAAAATTCAGACATGAAGTTTAGCTCACAAGCTGTACCAAAATTAAAAAACAAAATAAGTTGTCTCCTACCTATAGTTGTTATAACAGTGCCAGCAAAGAAGAAGGAACTTCCCAAATCCCAGTGACTGATTTGATTGGAGGTGTTTCCTAAAGGTATAATCCCTGCATTTATTGCTGCCACTATTTGCTGCAAGTTTAAAAAGAAATTTATCAGTACACATGAATCACATGGAGGCATCAAACAGTGTATATTTCACCCCAGTTGAGGAATTAGACAAAGAGAATCAATTCTAAGGCTTGGTTTTCCATTTGAAGTATACAATATAGATTAAGGCTTTATACTAAAGAATGTAACAAGTTAAATGATAAGAAAATCGTATTGGATATCAAGTGAATGGATCTGTATGGAGCACATCATATTGTACCAATATACATTTATATCTCATCCACTAACATATTCAGTGCCTTATTTGAATCAACTACTAAATACAGCCATGCTTTTTAGTAAGCACCACAGAGTTAAAATACCAGATTGCAAACTTACAATTTAAAAAATATATAATAGCTTCATCAAAAAATATTTCTAAAGTGCTCATCATTTTGAATGTTAAACATATAGAGCCAAGCCAGGGTTGTGTATAACTGTACAGCGTATTTATTAATAAGGTCCAACAAAACAGGCTAAGAAGGAAAGGCAATAGCAATTCACTATCCCACTTCAGTTAGTCCATGTATATCTAGATTCTTAGAATCTCTGCAGACTTTTTATAAATTCTATGGCAATATCATAGCATCACCAAAATATCACCAAAGACCCATAGATGACAATCACTCAACAATATTCACATAGGGACACTAGGATCTGGATGCTGCCTTGAGTAATTCAGAGAGACAGACAGAAAGATGACATTATAATCCCTTCAATCATCAGATGTTGAGCAGGGGATGGAATATCCAGAAGCACAAAACATGGAAGAGAATATGTTAGGAGAAAATTGTGTAGTAAAAGAGAGACATACAGATTGTAGGAAAAGATGTTTCCGTGTATAGTTTTAGAAATCTTTATCATTTAATTTCCAGATTATAAAATTGGAAGGAGCGTCATTTGATAGGCAAGGAAATTAAAGACCAAGAGAGGTAAAATGATTTGTTTAAGGTTAGTTTACTGGCAAACAGACAAAACTACACTGTGAAAATGGAGGGCACTACCCCAGGAAGTTACTGTCAGATGGAAAAGAGCATGTAATCCAGAACTGAAATGCAATATAAAATTTCATTTGTCTGATTTGTTTTACCCTATAAATTAAAACTTTAATAGTTCTGTGTAAAGTTAATTGAATGGTAATGCTTTTTAAAAAATTTTAACAATAACATATTTGCTGTAAAAAATTAAGAAAATACAGAAAGGCATAACAAAGATAACAAAAATTATTCATAATTCCAGAATCCAGAGATAATTATTGTTAATGTATTAAAGTATCTATTCCTGGTATTTTGTTATACTTTTTACATGGTTGGATTTATGAAATATATGAAATGTATTCTCTATTTTTACTTAATATTTTTCTATGTGTAGTTTTTCTTTGTCATTACCATGTTAACTTAATCATTGCCAGATATGTAGATGTATCTGTTCAGTGGGGAGCCTGCTTCTCCCTCTCCTTCTGTCTGCTGCTCTGCCTACTTGTGATCTCTCTCTCTCTCTGTCAAATAAATAAATAAAATCTTAAAAAAAAAGGGGGATCAACGCCTGGGTGGCTCAGTCGGTTAAGCCTTCAGCTCAGGTCATGATCTCAGGGTCCTGGGATAGAGCCCTGCATCAGGCTCCCTGCTCAGCGGGGAGTCTGCTTCTCCCTCTCCCTCTGCCTCTTCCCCGCTTATGCTCTCTGGCTCTCACTCTCTCTGTCATGTAAATAAATAAAATCTTTAAAAAAAATCTAAAATTTCTGGATTAATAGAAAACAGATTCGATTATATGCTTCTGCATTCAACTTACTGGAGAGCACATCACATAGCCTCTGAAAAACTCATGAGACAAGGGGAGTGGAAAAGGCAAAATCATCTTCATATTTTCAAGAAAATAGCTTTGACTTCATCAGACCTCTGGGAGGGTCTTGGGATAACATCTTGAGAACCACTGCTGTATACTGAACTTTGTTTGATATTGTTTTGTACCTGGAGAACGAAAGTAGGCAAGCTTATAGCTTTACAAATAATGGTATTTCACCTCTACATCTTCCAAAAGTTATGTTTTACTACCTTTCATCCCTTATTACATTGGTCAGTATTTCCAGAGCAATGTTAAATAAAAATAAGGAAAGCAGACTTCTTTGTTTTTTGTAGCATAAAATCCTCAATGTTTTAGTGTTTTATCATTAAATATACTGACTACTGGTAAGAAAATGGTATTTAATTAAATAATTATAAGAGCAAGCAAATAAAAAGGACTGATAAATAAAACCTGAAAAATCTAAAAATGTCTTTGGAAATATTTTCAGATAGCAACAAACACAAGGGAGGTGCACATAAACATTGTAAGCACAGGCTCGTAATCTCCAGCTTTGCAACTCCCAGAAAAACTAACGCTGCCAGTAAAAATATCAAGGAAAAGGAGGGTGGATTTAGATACATTGTAATTACATCCAAAGTATATTTTTATATTTTTAGACATTTCTTCAACATATTCATTCAAAAATATTTATCAATTGTTTATGATGCTAGGCAATGGGGAAACAACAGAGAAGTAAAAAAAAAAAAGACATGGGTGACAGTTATATATATATATTTTTAAGGTTTTATTTATTTGTCAAAGAGAGAGCACAAGCAGGGAGAGTAGCAGGCAGAGGGAGAAGCAGGTTTCCCGCTGAGCAAGGAGCCCGACGCGGTACTTGATCCCAGGACCCTGGGATCATAACCTGAGCCAAAGGTAGATGCTTAACCAACTGAGCCACACAGGCGTCCTGGGTTACACAGTTATAAATGAGAAAAGATAAGGCATGTCTTTAGACTCCACCCCATTAAGTACAATTAATTATTTTATTGATTAGAAGCAAGGTAATTTCTTCAACAATTGACTTAAAACAGCCTACATGGTCTGCACTATTATTTTAGCTAGTTCTTTTGTTAACAATGATGAGATGCAACATTACCCAGACACTTGGATAACATCCACAAATTATTTAAATGCAAAAGAAGTAAATGTAGACTTAGAAACAGTAATGTCTTATAACGTGTGGGTTTTAAATAGTTACCACAGAACTGTGATGATTGCAACAGAGGCTTGAGATGGAACTGGGAATATGTCACTATGAGAATGAGTCTACCACAAGGCTCTTTATTTGGAATATTCTTGTGAATTTATTTTTTTTTTTGTACAATATCTCTTGGTCAATATCCACAGGAAATGGTTGCCCTTGGCAAGTATACTGATATAGATCTAAGAGTCTTGAATTTCAACATCAGTTCAGGCTATCAAAGCACTTCACAAATGCTTTCTTCAGAACTGTTTCTGTATGTTCCATATTATGTGACTAAAGTAACAATCACTTCATCAATAATAAAAATTCATTTTTCCATGAAAGGTAACTTTTGTAAACAATCTAGTCATGTTGACAACTTACAAATAAGTTGAATTGTTTAGAGTAAAGGAAATTTGGGTCCTACGTATCTAATCCTAACACAGGATTACTTGAAGTGCTGATTAAAGAAGGACTTCCAAACTTAAAATCTACAATAGAAAGAGTATAAGATAATCTTGTTTGGATTCACATTTAATTTTGATCTTATAGACAATCATAGAATGTGCATTAAGAAAAGGAACTTGAATACATGGTTCTAGTGAGGAGTATGAGTGAAACTTCAGAAATAGAGCTCTAAGAGCTTTGTACTCATTGGGATGATAAAGGTAATTACTCATAAAATTAATGATGAATAATCTGAGTTTCCATGACAGTGATGTCTTTAGAACAGAAGTTCACAGAGTTCTACTGTGATTTTGTGCACTCTTGAATTGGAAGAAGTTGTCTCAGTGTCATTTGGCATTTTGGAACTATATTCAGCTTTGACACCAAACACTGGTAAGACACACTTATTTGTAATTGTATGAGACCAGCCTTGGAACGCAAGGCAATCACTGACAATCATGAAAATGTTTCCGTGAGTCCAATGCTTAGGAATAACTTTTTCATGTGTTATAAAGTACTTGACCAGCTATTATGTCATTGAAGGAAAATGTGTTGAAAATTAAATAACCCCACAGAAGACCTAAAGAATATATTGTTTTAAAAGTACGTTATATCATGGATCTTAAAATACAGGTGACACCAGAAGTTCTAATTTTGCTTTTTCTCCCCTTTACTCGGAGGCTCAGATGTTCACGTTCATCAAAACAATACAGAATGTTCTGAATGCCTTCCACAAATTCCTCCTCTATTTATACTGTAATCATGATTTCATTAAAATATATTTTCATACCTGTAATTCTAAAAGTAAAGTCACATTAATAATTTGAAAGTTTTAAGTGATGTAAAAATTCTAAATTACAGCTATCAGGTATTAGTATCTGAGTTACACCAATGATGTATGCATAACTGGTCCAATGACAACTTCCTTTTTAAATTTTATTTATTTATTTAAGTAATCTCCACACCCAACATGGGGCTGGAACTCACGGAGATCAAGAGATGCATGCTCTTCTGACTGAGCCAGCCAGGTGCCCTGGCAACTTCTTTTAACTTGGTATTTAAGATTGATGTCATTCTTTTCTCATTTGGAAAAGAACACTATTTCCAATAAATTGATATAATGGCCAAGTCCAGTTATAATTACACTGACATCTGTATTATTACAAACTTGCTTAAAGAAGAACATAAGTATTATCTTGCCAAATTTCTGTAAGAAACAATCATACATCTTTTTTTTTTTTTTTTTTTGCCGTTATTTCCTTGTGGGGGAACAAGTTTCATCCTGAGAGGAAGCTAGTCTTTAGGAAAGGAGTCAAATCACACACTCAGAATGCCACATCTGAACACTTGAAGTATGTAAGCAAGATTATTTTGAAATACTTGAAAAATGAGAAATACATGAATAATGAGAAAAGCAAAATAACAAATGATGTTCTCATTGCCAAAGAATTTTGTGAGAAGATACAACGGTAGGTATCATTACTATTTATTGTTATACCAAAAA